CTCAGCCTCGGTAGCGCCGGTAAGCCTGGACCCCCTCCTCCCTGAGGGGCTGAGGGAGCCCCACGCCCTCCCTGAGGGGCTGAGGGAGCCCCACGCCCTCCCTGAGGGGCTGAGGGAGCCCCACGCCCTCTCCGCTGCCCTGGGGCTGCGGGAAGCCGCGAGGCCAGTTCCATGTCCCCCATACCCAGGCAGAGGGGGATCCTGCACCGTGCGTCCCGCCCGTAGGGACACTGCTGTGGTGGTGGGGACTGTCCCCGGGAGGGTGTCTGGGTGGCCGGGCCCCAGTACCCTTGGGGACGGCAATGATTCCCCTGGATGTGTCCCTGAGGCCCGCATTTGCTTTCAGAGGTGGAGGTTGAAGTTAATGATTCCTTGATGCGGTTTTTCGATCACTGCGCCAAGTTTGTTGCTTTGGTGGAAGAGAATGACACGGCGATGTGCCAGGTGAATGCCTTTAAAGAGGGGCCAGAAATGAGGAAGGTTTTGGAGAAGGTCGCGAGTGCCTTGTGTTTGCCGGTGGAGGAGCTGAACGCAGGTAATGAATGCTTGTTACAGGTGGCTTCGGCTCCGAGTCTGCCTGAGAAGAACTCCTGAGATGCCGTGTAGCTGTGCAGAGTAGGTAATTTAAAATATGCTGTAAATCGCAGACACAGTCTCCAATTAAATGCGTAAGGCTGCAAATGTGTATTGGTGTTGCAGTAATGAATGCTTGTTAATCAGAAGAAAAAGATGTTTAAAAATATCTTTCCTACAGGTGAAATCAACTTTATCTTTGTTTGGAGGGATACAAGTGTGTTATTCTTTTAATTCTGCTTTGTTGAGCAGATGTAGCTTTTGTAAAACATGTTACAACTCAAACGCACAAATAACTTCAGGAAAAGGTGGACAGGTATGTGTGTTGTAACTTCACTTGTCCAGAAGAGAAGTGCCAGGTTTCCCTGTGTGGTCAAGTGGTGGGGGAGACCCCCCAAATAGGTGTTGCTGTCATTTCCAGCATGTCCCTAAAGCTGCAATCCCGAAGTTGCAGCATGCTGCTGTTCAAACTCAGCCACTAATGTGGAGGATGAGTAGTGGTAGTCAAAGACTACTCGGTGTTGAACAGACACACCTTCCTTGTATTGCCTCTTCTGTCCTTTGTGGTGATGAGAACACAGTAGTGATCAACACCTATAGCATGCACATCAGCAGACGTGCAGCATTTGATGTGAAATGCTCTCGTTTCCCCCTTGTAGCAATGTAATGTGAAAAGCTTGCAGTCTGAAATTTGGCTTTTGCGCAATAATTCTGTTGAAAACTACTTATTTTTGGTGCTTGGCCTTTGGACTGGCGATTATTTATTGGACTACACTGTTTGCATTGCTAAATTGTAATTACATTTCGCTTTAGAAGCAAGTTGAGAGAAGGTTGCTACTTATATAGCAGTGATTTATCTTTTACTTGTTGGATTTATTGCAGATCTTGTTCAAGTGGCTTTTCTCGCTTGCTCATATGAGTTGGCGATAAAAAATGTGACCTCCCCATGGTGTTCACTCTTCAGTGAAGAAGATGCCAAGGTAGGTGCTAAATGGGAGAGATATTTGAGAAGCCTTCAAAAGATGCCTTAGTGTTCAGATACAACTCTTTGCACAGTCAGAAGTTTTAAGTTGTGTGCCCCTTATTCTTCAGTCTAATGATGCACTACTTTGGTCTCCAAAGAGCTCTGGATTAATCAAGCAGCAAGACTGAAATACCCTTCTTCATTCAGACTTAAATACTGATGCAGTCTTGATTTGTCCTGATTAAAACAGTCTTTTCCTATTATGCTTAATTCTTATATGCTTCTATTTCTGTAACATCAGAAATGCTCTGGACAGCTTTGTTTTGCATATGATAATCATATAATAAAATGCCTTGATTCCAGAGGGCATCAAATGAGGTCTTCTAGGTCCTCTAAGACTCTTTATATGGTTTTGGCAACTGTCACATCTCTAAACCGAATGCCTGTTAATAAAACTAGTAGAACCCAGATAAATGAGACTTATGTTGTTCCTCCTCTTTCAGAAACTACCTGATGTACCCGTTGAAGGGATCAAGAGAGATAGGGATTAAGAGTGATGTCATTTATTTATCACTCCAAAACATGTTCAGTGAGCCCCCCCCCCCCCCCCCCCCCCCCCCCCTTGAGGCTCTTAAGGAAACTTAGCACACCTGGGGAAGAAGGGAGGCCTCTACACAGATAGGTGGTTGGCTAAAGGGTAGGCAGTGGAGTTAGGAGTAAATGCTCTCATCTCAAAGAGGAGGAAGGTCACGATGGACTTCTGCTGAGACCTGTGCTGTGCAATATATTTATAAAAAACTTAGCAGTGAGGTGGGAAAGCTTCCTGATTATATGGAGTTACTTGGTATAGTAAGAATATGGGGTGTTTGAGAGGCTTTGCAGAAGGGCCCTGTGAGGGTGGATTACGCAGCAATACAGTGGCAGATGGTGTTCATTATGGAATGATGCGTATGGGGTAAGAAGTTGAAGCTTCATATGTGAGGTGGCTGTCTCTCAGATCCATTGTGCCACTGAGAAGTGAAATTTTGATGGTATAGATCCATGAAAATGTTGGCTCAGTTACAGTAAAATTAAATGGACAAAATTTAAAAAAAACAAATGCTAAGAATTGTAAGAAAACGAACAGAGAACAAGGAGAGCATTGTGTGCTCTTCCATAAATCCAAGGCACAGTTCTGTTTTTTTGAGATGTGTGCACATCTCTAGAATGTAGAAATAAGACAAACTCAGTTAAAGGTATGGGATTGCTTCCATCTGAAGAATGATTAACTAAGCTAAGGGTCTTTGACCTTCATAAGGCAAAATCAGAAATGCTAAAAAAGTGGTGGATAATGACTGTCTTGTCATGTGCAGTACCTAATGGGTACCAAATGAAGCTAGCAGCAGGCAGGTTAACAACAGACTGTTGTGTTTTTTTTTTTTTAACGCAGTGTGTAGCCAAACTGCAGGGTACTATTAAGGCTAAAACTTGGTATGTTCGAAGGGGAGATTGGGTTATTGTGGGAGAGAATCCACTGAAGTCTATTAAATTTGTAGAAAACCACCTTAGGGCTCAAAGCCCTGGGCTGAAAATTACTGGAGTCTGGCGAAGCGTGCCCGCTGTTTTCCCTAGGCCTGATGATGAGCATGATCAGAGACAAGATGCTGAATTTGGTGGCTCTTCAGTCTGATCTCTTGTGTCTGGTTTTATGCTGAAGCAGTTTCAACTGGATCCTTGATGTTTGTTTGCGGTTTTTTTGGGTTTTTTTTGTGTCAAAGAATTGTTGATTTCATGCAGTGTGTGGTAGCATCATTGCTCCAGCTTGTGGGTTTTTTATTTTCCCTCTGTGCCATAGTAAAAACTTGTGAACTCTGTAACTTTAGGTACTGGAATACCTGAACGACCTGAAGCAATACTGGAAGAGAGGATATGGCTATGACATCAATAGTCGCTCCAGCTGCATTTTATTCCAAGATATCTTCCAGCATTTGGACAAAGCGGTGGAAGAGAGTAAAAGGTAAATAAAAAGGCTTTTGTGCTTTGGCTACAAGCTCTCTGTGGTCAATCCTGAGTTGGATTTAATGTGAATAGAAACTAAGTACTTCCAAACATAGCAATGTTAGGAGAGTTTGAGCTAGGAGAATTTTAATGGAAAGAATCAAATTTTTAATAGAGCAGTATTACTGTAAAGAGTATATATATATTTTTTTTTCCATTGATGCTCTTGTGCCCAGCTAACGTATTTCCATCTTTTAACTTACTGATCCATGCAGGCCTTCAAGGGATAGCCAGCTGCTGTGTCTGATAATGGTGTTCTCTTCCTGCACAGTTTGAGAAGAGGCCATCAAGTTAAAACAATGAGCTTTTTGTTTAAAATGTCCTTGTTAAAAATAATCTGTGGCAAAAATGGAAGATTGTGGGTTGAAAGCATGCCCATGATATCTTCTTTTATCTGGTTACTTAAGCACTTCAGTGTGGAACTCTTTCTTTCTGCATGTGTTTGATTTGAGTCTCTTGCATTATTAAAGCTTTCTGTTCAGATTAAAGGTGTTGAAATGTAATTGTGGAAAAATAATTATTACAGATCAATCCAAACACTTAGTGACTGTAGACGAGGACGGCCTGTTGCAGGATCCAAGAGGCCGGAGGTGTAACAGCAAACCAGCCTTGCTGTAACAAACCTGCTTCATTGTAACTAGGGAAGGGCAGACTTTAGGTGATCTCGGTGCAAATTAATTAAATTCTCATGCAAAATGAGGAATTATAAATTCCTCATTCTTACTCGGTGCCTTGTAAGAACAGGAGAAAGACACTTCTGTCCTGAAGTCATTGTAAACGCCTTGATTTGTTCTGTGAATCCAAAGTCAGTAGTTCAGCTGGCCAGTCTGAGAACTCTGTCTAGGATATTTAGTTTCCCATCCTTATTCTTTTACAGCAAAGCTGTAGTTTGGGAATAACGCTGTAGCTGTAGGAAGGTATTAGGCCTTACAATTAACTGTTAGTAGACTTGAAGATACAATAATCAGGTGTCTTAAAAGGATGGTGGTCTGATAAAGTGGTTTGTCTTCATCTGTTGCCATGATTTGACAACAGTCGTTTTGTGTCATTGGAAGAACGATAGCAGTGGTACTCCATCCGCTGAGTTGTGCAGTCCTCAAAACTGCCTTTATGGTGTCAGGATATAACCATCCCTATACTTTCTTAAAAATTAGTTGCCTGTGCTCTTTTTGTGTATTGTTTGCTCCTATGAGCTGGTATCAGTCAGCAGTTGTGATTCACTATCTGTTTGGTGTCGATCTTGTCTCGTGTGGATTGGTATGATGGGGAGTAGTAAAATAGGAATGAAACTGGGATCTGTTCTGGCATGGGGAAAACAAAGGCTTCAGTCACAGGTTGGGATGTTTGTGTCACAGAATTACCTGCATTTGTTTTCATGTGCTGGTAATCTGGGTTTTTTTGAGAGCTGCTTTAGGCTTAAATGCAGTGCATTCATATGAGAATTAATTTGCCACCTGTGTGCATGCTCCTCATGCAAAATGAGGAATTATAAATTCATAGTTCAGTGATCAATTGTGTGAATTAATACCTTAGCAGGTAAGTGTGCAAATGTTTATAAGAGTACATAATATCAAGGATGTGATTGTAAGATTGTATAAATATTGTGCTGTTAAATACTTGATAGAAACCAATTTATAAATAACTTTAAGCTATAACCAGTAAATTCAGCTTTGGTGTTGATACATAAACATTAGTTACATGTGGTGTATGTTCTTGCATTCCTAGCATCCTTGGGACTTTGTCTATAGTCAATATATTAAACTAGATCTACCTAACACCCAGCAGAATAATATTAATGGCTTTGATATTTCAGAAAGAAGAGCATGAGTCATGGATATTTGAGGCTGGCTATATATAATTTTTACATGATAACCTGTTGAAGACATGTTTTTTTTTTCCTTTTAGTCAGCAGACTGAAATTAGAAGTAGCATTCATGTTTTGGGTTGGAGGAACGATCCATAAAGTTGATTATAACCATTTTGCAGTAGAGAAGACAGCAAAGAAGTTTTGTTCCTTTAAAAGTTTGCTGACTGAGGATCCAAGCTGGACATTAACAGTGGTAGAAGAACTGTGCGTTAAGTAAGTTGGAGCATAGTTCTCACAGTCAGTTGGCTTTTTTGCTGTCCTTTAGTGTGGGATGCAGAGATGCTCCCTGTGTTCATCACTGGAGCTCTGAGTGACGCAGGAATGTTGAGGTCATGTTTAGTATAATCCATGACATGATTTCTTTCATCTAAAGTGGAGTTATCACTAGGTAGACAGTACTTGTACTGTTTATTTTGATTATTTTTGGGATTCACCTGGAAAATCAGCCGTGCCCGTTTTTAACAGAGTATCGGCTTAGTATGCAAGAAGGTAAAGGTGTTGAAAACTTGCCTTTGAGATACATATGTAGACTTTCCTAACACTTGTATCCAGATTAGTACCTTGATCCCGGTCTAATGATTATGTGAACCTAGAGAAGGGGGCCATACAGGGTCAGAAATGAGATCCAAGGATGGGAGTGTACAGGACTCTGTTGTGTTGCGTGGCAGCAGCAGTCGGGGCCTTTCTGAATCTTGCCTGTGCTGTGCGCCAGCCAGCACAAAGGAGACACCTCTGTTCATTTTGCCATGAATGGGTTAAAACTTGACAGTCGCAAACATGAAATAAGTTTGGCTTTGGGGAGGAGTTGCTGTGAATGAAAGGTGGGTGGCTGGCGATAGTGACCCCTCTCCAGCCAAGCTGGCTTAGGAAATTGTGCTGTCAAATGATCACTCTGGCATCTGGAAATTTAAGGCTTGTGTGGGAGTTGGTGATACCTCTCATTTTGGTAGTGGTGGAGCCAAAGCAGTGGTTATGCTAGATCACTCTTTAAATAAACTTCTTCACTGCATCTTTTCTTCAGCCTACTAGAGAGCTAAATGAAAAATACATTAGGGCACAGGTCATTAACATCCAACTGTGAACAGATTGACAAGCACGCTGCTGTGATTGCCTCTGTCATGTGCTGTGTCTGTCCCTATGAACAGAGAAAGTAAGAACTGGGAATGAGATCAGGAAGAAGTGCAGGTTAAAAGAAAAACAGACAAGCAAGACCCTTAACACCCCTCTGTCCTTCTGAAATCTGAAAAATAACTTCTAAATGCAGCTTGACTCATGTAAGGAGAGTGATAAGTTTTGTTTCCTTTTAGTATAATTTACTCTGAACAGTGACAGCCTTTCAATCCTTAAATTATATGCATTAGTTGCAGCTGTGTCTCAACTGTGTGTAAGATATCCCTGTAGGTTTAATAATAACAAAAAAAAAAAAGCTATAGTTGACAAAATCTATATCTATACTTCTCATTTATTGAGAACTAGATCAACAGTCACTAAATTACAAGGTGGAGCAGGCTGCTTGGGGAAGAGTAGCTGTCTGAGGCAGAGCACTAAAGGGCCGAGATAACTTCATTCTGTCTTTTAGCTTTGGCTGCAGAAGTTTGGTTGCAATCTCTGGACTTCTCGTGTTGTATTGCCACCACAAAGGGAAGCAAGTAGTGAGTTTATGCGTGTGTGTAAAGGATCGGGACCCTAAAAATTTTGCAAAATTCAAAGCTGGGTAAGCAGTCTGCTTAGTTTGCATCATCCTAAATGGGAACTGAAAGCTTCCGAAGTGTATTGCCTTGTTCAAAAGGAGTGTGTCATTCCATCCCACAACGTAAGGTGGCAGTCTTAAAGCACTGAAGACTAGTATAATCTGAATCGGGTAACCCGGTGCACTTAAGAATACGTGGAAATCTGCCACCGCCGATGTGTTGGAACAGCTTGTGTCTCTTGTGATCTAGAGAGCGGAGGTGCAACTAATGCTTTTTTATCTAGAGAGGGAGACTTATCCCGGATCCCGTGGCAATATGAGAGTACAAATGAAAACAAGACACCATACAAATAAAGAAGTGTGCCTGTGTTAATAACAGTAGAAAGTGTTTGGTTGTGAATATGTGTGTGCATGAGTGTCTCTTATGGTATTGTGCATCTTCAAGGCAACAGGTTAAATACTTAACTGTTCATTACTCAGAAAATGAACCTTTCTGATGATGAAATGTCTCTTAGTGGAATGTTGTTTCAATTTAGTGATGTTTAATGTTGATTTGTAACTAGCTGCTTGCTTTAAAAAATTTAAGAACAACAAATTTACTTCCAGAGCATTATCTTTGCTCCAAGTTCTCCTTTCTTTCTGGAAAGCTTAGATTGGGCTATCCAAAAGTAGAAAGGGGAGTGTTCCAGCAAGAAGCTGAGGAATCTGGATTATCTGTTCTGCTTCAGGCTTGGCAGTGGAGAACAGTGTTGACAATGCAGCATTTTTGTGGCATGCTTTAAGTATATATATTCAATAGCTTTGTCCTGTTTTCATTCCCAGTTACAGCTGAATTAAAAAGAGAAACCTTGCTTTTATTGTAACCCTGTTTCTTCCATGAAGTGATTCTTGACCTTGCAATCTGATTGCTCACTGAACTTAGTTGCCTTGCTAGTTGCCTTGTTAAAGCTCACTTCTCTTTCTTCTGGGGAAAATATCTTCTGCTAATTAGTCTATTCGTAAGAAAATGATGAAGGTGGTAATAAATACCTATTGCTAATTAGTCCCACCTTCAATTTGCAGTGCAAAAGTTTCAGACATTTTTAGGATCTTCCATCATACGAATTCCAATAGAATTCTTGGTTTAAACTAGCAATAGTCTCTTCTGTGTAGGTCTTGCTGTACAGCAAGATGGTTTTGAAGGCTGTGAAAGGGATTTTTACTATATGATTGCTCTTGTCAACTGTCCCCATCCAGACCGCTGGTGGAAAGGTGTTGGAATATCTGTTCAGGAACTTGGGTCTGATGTTGAATTTATCGATAGTTATATTAGTGACCACCTACTGTTAGCATGGACCCTATTCTTCTGCACTCTCAGTAGCGATAAAGTATAAATGTCTAATAAAGGTTAATTCTTAGTAGA